TGCCATAGTCACTTTTGACACATAGCAACCCTAAGTACAATAGAAGGAAACACTGTCTGGTTCTGTGCCATGCTCATAATCATTGCAGTTGGAGCTCATTTGTGGTAGTTACGGTTGTGTGTCAACTTGGCTGGGCTGTGAGTTTTGAGTGGCTCGGCAACTGGATGTAGTTATTCCCCACGATGACACTGCCAACCTCTCCAGAGTGGAATCTACTGGGGCAGCTGAGTGGTTGCCTTCAGGGTGTGGCCTGCTTCCAGCACATAAGGAGAAGCTTTGGGGAAGGTCTCTAGCTTTTTGGTACATTTTGGATCCTGCATTTGGCTGAGTCTTCACCTCCAGTTCTTGGTCTTGAACCAGTGGCCTGCCATGCTGTCTGCCTATCTTGGGATTGTTCCTGGACTTGAACCAGTGGCCTGCTGTGTGTCCTGCTAATCTTGTGATTGTGCCATTTTAGCTGCCAACTCTGGGTTCATTAGCCTCAGCAGCCAGCAGCTGCATGAGTTAGGAGATGCCTCCACCTCCAGTGGGCCGAGAATAAGAAGCAGAGCCAAAGCCACTAGAGTGGGCACTCTGACTTTGGACTTCTAGCCTCCTAAACCATAAGCGAATAAATTCCTGTTTGTCAAAGCCATCCATTTGTGGTATTTTTCTTACAGCAGCACCACAGAACCAAGACAACATTGTTGTAGCCACTGTGTCAGTCCATCTCATTGAGGGTCTTCCTCTTTTTCACAGACCCTCCACTTTACCAAGTATGATGTCTTTCTCCAGGGAGTGGTCCCTCCTAATAACACATCCAAATTACACGAGACAAAGTCTCACCATCCTCACTTCTAAAGAATATTCTAGTTGTACTTCAAGAGAGAGTTGTTCTTTCTTCTGGTAGTCCATTGTGTATAGTCAATATTCTTCACCAACACCACAATTCAAAGCCACCAATTTTTCCTTGGTCTTCCTTATTATTTTACTTGTTGCTGTATTATTATTATTTTGTGAACTGTGTTATTACATTTAAGAAGTTTTAGTGTATTTGCTACTGAAGAAGAAAAACAAAGTAGGAGGTCTCACATTGCCGGATCTCAAAACCTACTATACAGCCACAGTAGTCAAAACTGCCTGGTATTGGTTCA